GGATTAATGAAACTAGACGTCCTATACTACTTATTTAAAACTTTCTTTTTAACTAATGATTGTAAAAAATTTTTTTTTGTAAGACGTTAAAGTTCAGGAGTAAAAACGGATATGATTACGTAATAGCCAATCAAATGCAAGGATTGACATGGGAGATCATTCTAGAACATGATTTCCTAATTTGGTATATCGGCGGACTGAATTTTACAATATTATAGTACTAAAAACGAAAACTTCAAGAAAAATGTTTGTACGAATCGGTAATAACACTGATTGTATACATATAAAAGATAGGTGAATATATGTAAAGAGGGCTAAAAGTGGTGTTAACTGCTAAAACAACCAGAGCTTACTAAATCCAACTACAGAATTATCTAAGATCAAATCTACGATCTATAAACCCAAACTTAAATACCACCAAAATTTTAGGGTGCTTTAACCCTAAATTACTAATTATTAACACTGCTAACATTACATCAAAAGCCAAATCTGAAATTCCGATCTCTAAAAAAAACTAGCTATTTTGTTAGCAACTATTTTTTTAATGCGAGTTAAAATTCAAACAAAGACTTTTTTTTCTTTATTTAGTTCAGAAAGTTCGTCTAAGCTAACTTCTCTAAATATGAGCTTGTAAAAGATTAATTTTAGAGTTAACTTTCTAGCACTCTTCTGTAGCTAGAAATAATATTTGCGACGATTTTTTGCTTATGTAATTTTACGTCCTTAAAAAGTACTTTAAAGTGTATGTATACCCGGGCAATTAATTTACATCAACCAATCAAACGAATTTCTGTCTATGAGATTAAAGGTTCATTTATAAAATATTCGTTATGAGAATAATCTAGATATAATATTAAATTACATAAATTATGTGCGCTTATCATTATAGGGAAAGTGCATGTGAAATGCACTTATAGAGTGTATGCTTATGGAGTATCGACTGTATATCACAACAGTAAATTATGTGCTACATTAGGATGCGCGTTAATTCGGGGACACCCCATGAGCGCTAATTCGAGACCATATAAGTTGTTTTTGAAGGACCCTATTTTCAAAACAACGCCCACGAGCGTTATTTCGCGCTTATACGGTATTTTTAAAACATGCCACACTGATCTCGTAGACAAAAGAAGAAATTACGTGTACTACTACAATTTGTATGCTCCGCCGTCATGAAATTCAAAAAGAGAATATGGGTAGATATTGTTATATGAGGGCCCTTCGGGCCCTCATACAATTGGGAATTTGCCTTTTATTCCTGTTGTTTCGAAAAATAAGTACTATATATAAGTTCCGATAAGCTAAAATTTATAATCAATACTTTGTATATAGTTTTTTTGAGAAAATCAAGTTTTAAAAATCTTAAATCAGCACGAATAAGAAATTAATAATAAATACATAGATTATTTCAATCAATTAACAAATAAAATTGACTGAATCGACTTGAATAAAAATTGGTTATCCACCAAATCAGCAAGGACAATAAATCAATAAAGCCAATAAAAAATGCATACATTGTTTTGAATACTTTGATTTACAAACTATTTTATTCATTCCGGTTAAATTAATACGTACAAATCATTTCAATCGCTGGTAAATATAATGATCATTTATTATAGCGTTAAAATCGGTAAAACAAATTCACAAGTCAAGATCATAATACCTACTTACCGGTACCAATACATACTGTACAAGTCTCATAAATTTAACCGGTGGATTAAAATCTGCATAACAAGTTCGCAAGTTATACTTACTTGCCATCATGCACAAGTACTACAATTAATGTAATCTTCACGGTAATTTTGCTTAAGATTCATGTTGTGAAATGCGGATAATGAACTTACTAAACTAGCTAAACCATTTTCTACTAATTAAAAATTAGCTACGACCTATAAATTTAAAGGCAAAGATTCTTATACATCTAACCGTAATATTGCCTTAAAATTTAAATTTACAATCTAGCATTTATGACTCGGCATGTATACTTATTTACATATGATATAGAAATAAAATTTTATTATGACATATTAATGCAGTAATGTATAAATTTAAATATAAAATTTTCATGACCCGGGAACCGACATGTAAAATTTTATTTATTACCATACAAAATTTAAATTTCACGATTTAGTTTTTATGACCAGGCCGGGTTATGAAAACCAATTCATAAAATTTTTATGGCCTAATTTATAATATTGCCTTTATTGGATTTTCCATACTCTTTCTGCTCAACGTTAACAGCATTTCAAAAATGGTATGGATGAACTTTATTTTATTTTATTATTATTATTATTGTTAGGTCAAGTCACAAAAATCGATTCCTTTTATAGTTCGTTATAGTCTAACTCTATTTCACAAGACCATCTACAAAAATCGAATCATCTGATAAAATATTGGGATAACTTCAAAGTCCACATTTTTTTTTTGTTGAATTACCGTATAGTTCCAAAAATAAACACCCTGAAAATAAGCGCCTCATAATTTTTTTATATCCAAAAATAAGCACCTCATGATTTTTTTATATACAAAAATAAGCACCCCTTTTATAATTATCAGATTAGAAACTGGTTAAAACCCGGTTTTCTTGTTCATTTTATATCCGAAAATAAGCACCCCTATAACAAAAAAGGGTGCTTATTTTTGGTACATACGGTAATAAATAGTTTCGTATTTTACAAAATGAAGAAGTGATGATTTTTCGGTTGAGCTGAATGAAGTTGATGGTTTAGTTGAACAGAATAAAGAAGCTAATGGTTTTTTGGTTGAGCAGAATGAGAGGTTGATATTTTCTTGCAAGAAATCAAAAATGATTACCAAAATGCCGGATCATAATGTCGTACCACTTTGGATAACTTTTGTTACAAGATATTGCGCATCAAAATTGCTTTCAATCTCATGATTGACTTCCTTCTTGTTTGATAATAATTGTAGCACAGATTTGTCACATATTAAAAATGGTGCTACGATTCGAATTTGCTAAATGGTATAAGTTGTGTGGGTCTAATCGAGTTAAAAAGTCACGACTATTTTAAATGAAGTGAAGGAAAATCATGATCCCCAAACTATTCCCTCTCGTAAAAAAGAGAAAAGGAAAATTTAAAAAAGGGATCATGATTTAAGTACGAATTTTGCAAAAAATCAATTATATTGATTTTATTTGTCATTTCAAAGTTATTTTGTAACTATTTTATAACCGTATTATTTGCACGAACGATTAAAATCAATATATTGATAATTACCCTATCGTATCGACATTGTTAATCTTCATTAACTGATTTAATGTTGAGTCCCGTGATTTTACTACGGAATGGCTAACTACGCCACCAACCTGGCTCACTTTCAAGGGGCGTTTAATTTTTCATTGAACCTAGTGTGAGCCCCGGAAACCGACCAATTTCTGTGGCCCAAGCATGATTTAAGATCACGGGGATAAGTGCAATTTATGGAATTTATTACATTTATTACATTTATGGAATTTATTACACTGATTGTAACACCGAAGATTTTATTATAAATAAAGGCCGCGAAGGCCCTAAGAACAATAAGTTCCATTTGCTTGCAATTATCGTTCCCTAATAAAAACTACCCAATTGACCCAATTGACCCATATAAACCTAAGCACCTAAATAATAACCCGCTATACTAAATAATCTTACCCTGATCGAGCACTAAGTGGCATAGTGAAAGATCTCCGCTTGTTAATTGCCTTGCTCACGTGACTTCGAAGAAGATTGTTTTCCGGTTGATTCTCGACGGACTGAGGACTGCCGTGGTTTTCCAATTATCCCAACGTACCGTGGACAAGTTGTGGTTGTTTTCCAGTTTCCCAACGGACTGTGGAATCTGTGGTTGTTTCGTTCCGGTTTGAGTCTTAGTGAAGGAACTCAAGCCGTGGTTTAGTTCGAAGTATTATAAGATATAAGTGTTAAAGTGTCCTAAACCAGTTTCGTTATAAGATTAAAGAGGATAAACCTACGTCCAAAATCACCCTCGCCCAAATCTAAACACCTCCATTTCGACTAAGCCTAACGTAGGTTACACAAGGTCTCGAAGGTTGTCACTAGGTGCAATACAAAAAATGCGCGGCAGATCCTCGATTTTGATTGGCTAACGGTCGAGAATCTTCAAAATTTTGGCCCGCATCATAATTTTTGCTAATTTTTGGCCGGAATTACCTTTTTAAAATTTTCACTACAAAATTAGAAATTTTTTAAATAAAACCCGTGTTATGGTGAAATTAGCCTAGGAGTATTTACACTTAATTGGTGGTTGCGATTTCATTAGTAAAATTATGAGTAATTCCGGCCTAATTTTTTGATTGTCGCTCTTAGCCAATCAAAATCGAGGATCTGCCGCGCATTTTTTGTGCGGCACCTAGGTTCAATGTTCAATACAGTACCATGATCGATTGATTAACTTCAATGACATTGTTACAATATAGATCAGTAAGTGATAATCACGAGTTGTAATTTTTTTAGTATGAAAGCGTCTTCATTCAAGATTAGTTAATATGAGTGACGAAAAGGGAAAACCTGTAAATCATTTCACTTATCGTTATTATTATAATGACTAATACTGGAGAGAAAATTAGAAAAAAAACATCAATGATCATACTTACAAATTATGGTAAAATTAATACGTCAAAATAAAAAAAGACTTCAATATGGATAAATAGATATTGTGTTACTTGAGCTCAATAAACTATATAAGTCATATATGGCGCAAAATACCAGAAACATCCAATAAATAATGATGAATGAGGCAGTTTTAATTACCATTGATGTATCACGCTTTAAACTTATAAATAATCTCCATTTTAAAACTTGGAATTCCGATAAATTCAATTAATGGAAGACATCACTCACCTCACTAAAATTGAAGTAATCACCTCGACATGGTTTCTTGCTGCGAGTTTTGCATTAACTGCGGACTCGTTTTCCCATGCAGTGGTAAAACTTGCTATTAATAAGTGGAACTTTCTCCTTTTTACCGTAAATGTAGCAATAATTGTTAATGAAATATTTATGCTCTTTCAAGTAGTAGCAAGTTCAAATTGTTCAAATATAAATAGCTCAGATAACTGCAATATCTCAAATGCAGTAAGTTTTTCAAGGTGCACCGATCATTCATCTGTACGTATGTATTATATGATAGAAATTATTAAATTTTTTGGCTATTTAATCGCTAAACCAGGAATGCTGCACCTCGCATATCTCAGATGTAGTTCAGTCTTTAAGCCATTTAAAAAGCCTGCGGTTATAAGGTTTCACTATTCAATTATGGCAGTACGAGTCTTAGAAATAGCCATTTTAGCAACCACCAGTATTACAGACCTTATAAAATGCCAGGGATCATATTGTGAACCAGAATGTTCGTACATACCTACAATTTCTTTTGCACGAGAAGCAGCAGTACCGATTTTTGTAATTTATTACATTATTGCCGAGTTTATATTTTACATGAAGCTTTTTAAAGTCATACGAGAAATCTATAATGATGGAAATACTCAACGAGATCTTTATCACCAAGCCGCACTATTCACTATTGACATATTGCAACTGTCAGCAATGTGTGTCTATCGATTAGTTGGACTTGTGGTCAATCTACCAACTTACCGTTATGCAGAAGTTTTCAGTATAGCCTTTACTATTTTTGTGATGACTAAGTTTTGGCATATGATTCCCATTTTAACCAGATCAATTGGTGGAAGTTGTGACGACACTGATATTGATAAAGTGAATAACATTGAAAACTAAATACTTGTAGTTATAATTTATACTCGGAAAAGATTTAAATCTATAAAAATTTTGATTTATATCCAAATATATAGTATGCATAATCTTGTATTTCAGAAAATAGCCAGACATTATAAAATTTAAAGACTGAAAAATATATTTCGATTCTTGTAAATATCCCAATACATCAGTTAGCATTTTTATAATAGTCTTAATACTTCAAATTTCTCATTTTCAAAATTAATAATTTGTTATTTATTAATGGCTTGGATTTACATGTACTAGATTTAGTACATTGTACTAGATTTCATACATTTTAATATCTAGTTATCTACTAATTTTGAATAATAATTATATTTTTAAAAATTTTTTATAAGTTCTTTATAAAGAAGGCAACTGATTTTGAATTTTCTAGAGCTTAACAATTTATTTTAAAATTCTAATAAACTTTTGAAGTTTACAAAATTTGCAAAATTTTATTAGTAAATTTTATATATTCAAAACTAGTAATATTTTAAAAAATTTTAACTACATATAAAATTGCAATATATTGCTTTAATTTTAATATATATATATATTTTAGAAATAACAATATCTTTTTTATAATTTTTAGTAAAATTCAAAAAAATTATTATATAAATTTTTTTTAAAAATTATTTGAAAAAGAATTTTACTAAAACGCACCTATGGTGGTTTTACACCATAGGTTCCGTTTCTCAAAAATGTACTAAGTAAACGGGATCAGGTCTTCTAAGTAAAAATGTTCAGGACCCCCAAAAACCTCATGAGAACTGAGATCGGGCCCTATCATGCCCTTATAGTAGCTCTAATATATTATATAAAAAAAAAATAATTATTAATTTCCTAACCCTAACCCTAAATTTTATTAAAAGAAATTATACATAGATGTAAAACCACCATAGGTGCGTTTTATAATAATTCATTGAAAAATTAAAAAAACATATAAAATACCAAAAATAGTAATGATTTTCAATTAGTACTACATAAATCTTATAATATAAAGTTAAATTTTTATTATATAAATAATAATAATTTTTTTATATAATAAACCCCATGGTATTTTTAATATTATAAACTTTAATTTTTAAAATTTATTAATTACTTTATAAAATAAACATACATAAAAATGTACTAAATCTAGTATATCAAGAATCACAAATAATTGAATATTTTAAAAAAAATATTTTAAACCAATTTTCTTTATAATATTAAAATAAACAATGCCAAACTATTTCAGAATACCTAATAGATTTTTGTATATAAAAATATTTACATATATAATTTTTTAAAAATTTTAATCTATTTTATAATTGTACTATTTTTAGTACCAAGTGGGAAATCCAAGCCATTAATTTTTATTCAAAAGCTGACTTATGCATACGTGGATTGAATGAAAATTTTTGTCATAGGGTATTATCTCAATTATTTTAAGTCTATAGTTTTAAAAAATATGCATAGTTTTATAATGGTTATGATCATTGTTAAAGATTTAATGTTTTCAATGTTCCTGGGAACATTAAAAAAATTTAAAAATACTAGATTCAAAATTTATGTTCCCTTTTAGGAACAAAGTGGGAACATAAAAGTATAATTTATATTCCTATAGAGATAGAGAGAGAGAGAATATTTTTATTATTTTTATTATAGAAACATTAAAAATTTTTTGGAACATAAATTTTAATAACTTATATTCGTGAAGAACAAAAAAAAATTTTAAAATCTTTTTCACTGAATTTGAGTTTAATCATTCCGGTTGGCATACTTTTTACTCAAACCATCCTTTTTTGCAAAGGCTTATCAAATTTTATAACTATCAAAGTAAAAATAAATAGAGAATTATTTAAACATTTTCATGCTTATCATTATCAACTACTATTTTTAGTTTAACTTTTTTATTGCTTTATAATACTAAAAACTTTTGCGTAGAAACAAATTATATTATTACCTTACGTAAATAAAGATTTTCTCAAGTATCTCACTAGATGCAAATTTATTGTATTGTAGTACACTGGCAATCATAAATAATGCAACAAAAAAAAATTTAACTTAGATCGCATTATTTCCTGCAATTCCGTGTATCCTTTTATTTTTTTTTATTTTACTTGTGAATAGTATAGTATTCATATAAAAAAATCTAAGAATGTATTAATAAAGTAGATTTTTTATAAGCACGAGCTTTATTTAAAATTACGTGTTGCATTAGTTTTGCTCGTTTTAAATACAACACGAATGTAAAACAAAAAAATTTTTTTTATATATAAAAAAATTTTTTTTTCTATTTTAATATTTCATGGTTGCCACAACATGGTGTATTCACCTTGTACATTGATTGCTTTACAAACTTGTTCTAGCATTGGGATAGATTGAATGATATAGGTCTGTATCTTGATTTCCATCTAGGCCACCTGGATCTTGCCCCAAAGATTTTTTTCACCTGAAATTCATCTTAAATATTTTCAAGCCAATGTTAAATCGTTAACCTACAAATATTTAAGCAAATGAGTTCAGAGGACGAAGATATTAATTAAAATCTTCATCTAATTATTTCTAAGCTAATGTCTTATAAATGTTATGCTATATTTGACATCACTATCTTTTTTTTTTTAATAGCAAATTCGTAACCTATAATAGTATATATAAAATATTAATAAAAAATATATTAGTATAATGCAATATTCATCCTGTAGTTGATGTTGCAAAGGCTATTAATATCACGAAATTTAATATAGTATTATACCTTTACAAACCAGTCCCAAATCTTTAATATTAAAAGCAAATTAATAATTTTTTGAGTTATTTCTATAGTATTATTTACTATCCAACTCAAAAAATTTCAAATTTTACTTGTTAGACAAAATTATCTAAACCAGTACTTTGTAGACCGATTTTCACAAATTCAAGCCAACGTTTTCGTCGATATTTATACGGGTAGAGCTCTTTTTACTTAACCTCTAGTACTAAACCATAATTTCAATATGTAAAAAAAAAAAAACCTAAATTATTAATATGGTTTAATTTTTTTGATAAAACCGTACTTCAACGGCAATTAAATAGCAAAGGTTGTGGCTCAATTTAAAATCGTCACTTGGGTTGGCTCATTGCTGACAGGTAAACGACAAACCTTTACTAGTTTTTTACAAACACGATAGCTCCACCACTTTTATTGGTGTAAAGAGCCAGGAAGCTACTAAAATTACATGTTTAGCTTACCACTCTTGTGGTACACCGGTTTTGCAGTAACGAAGAAACTAGGGCTCTTTTGAGTTATAAATCGTACATAATTTTTTTTTGCTAGAACGTCATTTAAGTTCTATTGTAACATGAGAATGCAAAAATGAGAATAGATTTTCTGGTCACAGAATCCTTCGTTGTACAATGCCATCAATCTGATCGTTGTAAAAAATGATCAAAAGTAATGCAACACGTGATTTGTGCTACATGCTCGCTTATCTTTACATTGGCAATAATAATGAAAATTGAAATTTTAAAATCGAAAAAAGGTACCATTTATGAGTAAAATAAAAAAAAAATAAAAGGACACACCTGGAATTGCGGGAAATAATGTAATCTAAGTAAAAATTTTTTTTTGTTGCATTACTTATGATCGCAGTGTAATCGAAATAGTGTACAAGTATTATTCTCATAACATTTTAGATAAAAATCAATTGTAAGTATGGTGATATTTTGAAATTTTGCTCATGTATCACTCTCTTATTATGATTTGCAAATAATTGCAGTGATGCATAATTGCTACAATAGATTAAAATAAAGGCCTTAATCAGCACTTTTGTAGCCTTATTTACTGTATTTTATATAGTATATTAAATGTTATCAAGAATATGACGAAGATCTATAATAGAAAGCATAATATTTATGAAAGTTTGATAAGCAGTGAAAAAAAAATAGATGAGATCTTTGCTAGGAAAATCACCCTTCAGTATTTTCCGATCGGGCTAATTCGGAAAAGCTTAGACCAGAATACCGCTTCTTGTTCATATGTAAATCCCTTTTACTATATTGATTCGATAGTTTATTAAATAAACTGTCGAATCAGTAAAGTAAAAAACTGGTTTACATATGAATAAGAAGCGGCATTTTGGTCTAAGCTTTTCCGAATTAGCCCGATAGGAAAATCCCGAAGAGTAATTTTCCTAGCAAAGATCCCAGATAGTTTGATATAAAACGTTTGTTGACCGGAATGCCAAACTCTAAATATTTTCTATTACATGAAAAATTTTCTGATATGTTCTGTACCTTATTTACTTTAATGGCATCATTTGGTCAGTTAAAAAAATAAACCTCTTGCCACGATTTTCAAATTTATAACCATGGAGCGGTTTATCCGAACGATAGGATTATATCCACCAAAAATTTCATAAATGCCTTAACTTTCACAATCAGAACAACAGTTGTTTTTTGGTTGCATAAATTCCAAAATAAAGTAGAATATCTCTAGTTCCACGAAGAAGTAATTTAAATACACAAGGGTTATTTGTTACAGAATATACTTTTTTATCAATCCATGAAGCAATTTCAGCTGTGTGTATTTCACTAATGACTGTTGAGAATGGTTCAGTCTTTCTAAGCGGTAATGATTTTTTTAAAATTACACGAAGTGGAAGAATTATTGATGATATCAGTCTGTTAGGTGATAGATGTCTTTTAATTATATCATCCCATAAATTTTCATCTAACTTTCGTAGATATGGTTGCAAATGATCAATAACATCGTCACCAGATATTTGGAAATAACTAATTAGCTGTAAGCAATTTTGTAAAGTATTTTTCATAGATAAAAATTTCCATTAGACCAGTTTTTATGATTAGATGATATGTCAGAATTTTGTGCGATTCTCTATTTAACAACATGTTTCCAAATTTTCCTTTTTTCCATTTGTAAATTATCTCGTTTAATAAGTAAAATTAACGCATTTTCTTGAATTGAAGTAAAGTCATCTGATTAAAAATCCTTTCTGGATACTTTGATATAATATTATTGC